AAGAAAGCTAGGGATGGCGCGCTACAGCTACAGCTACAGGACAGACATCGTCAAGAAGACAATGGTTGCGAAGTTGAATAAAGAACTATCCGAACGCTATGATGTTTTACAAATCGTCAGGCATCGTACAGGGTATCGTTATGCCGACCAGCAGCTGTGGTTTTCGATTCGCTTGATTCAGTCTTGCGATGGCTTCGACGACGCTGGCTGCTTGGTGAATCGGTCGTCGCCCTTGGGTCTGGAGTCGGGATGAAAGTGGGCGGATCGAGGAGTCGAGCTCCCGTCGTCCCAGAACTCGACATCGCCTTCCGCGCTCAAGGAGCCTTTCTTGACCAGATTTCCCTTTTCTCGCATCAGGTCTTCGATAGTCACCGACTTGTCTGAGAAGATCTAGGCAAAATTAGCCGCCATGCGACCGTTTCCTGGACATGATTCCGACGTACCTTGAGATGGTCACTGATCAAGTGCCGGTTCTTGCAGTCCGGACATGATATCAGGACGGTCCCATGGTGGTAGCCCTGCTTGGACAAGCGATGCGACGAGCGTGTCTTGCAGACGTTGCATGTAAAGGTAAGCTCGTAGGACGGGACCTGGTCGCGGTCCAGTCGCGACTCTGGGGCTGCGGTCGACACAGGTGAGGCAGCGCTGGACTCGAAGCGGGCCGTGGCGGGCAGGTGCGCTCGTGACAACACAGGGAGAGGGCGAGGGGCTGCTGACGTTCGCGGTGTAGGGAAGGGGCGTCTTGCGGGTGCTGGAATGCGCGCTGCATGCAAAGCTCGTCCGGCTCGGGGGGCGCGTGGCCGCGCGAAAGCGCGCAGAGAAGACATAGACGTAGACGCGCGCATTGCGGCCGTATGGCCAGCGACAGGAGCTCGAGATACGAAGAGCATGGAGGTGTACACGGCGCACGCAGAAAGAGAGGGCTTGGGCGCCTTGCGGTGACAGGAAAGAAGCAGGTGCAGCGGGCAAAAGCCGCCTCCACCGAGCCATGACGCCAACGCTGCCAGCTGCTTGCGGGCAAAGACCCCCGCCGAGACCGCGCGCCCGGACACTCACTCACCTCACCACTGCGCGCGCCTGCACCCGCACCATTCACGGCGTCGCTTCGTGCTGTGCCATTGCCCCCCAGCCCGTACACCTGCGCTTGGGTTCCTCGCAGCATCACGACTGCTCGCTGCCACGCTGCCACGCCGTCACGCCGCCACCGCGCCTCAACCACCAGCCCACGTCCGCTGCCGGCCGTGAAGAAGCTCTCCAGCGCCCAGCTAGCTTGCCCAGGTGCAGGATCCAGGGCACCATGATTGCAGGAAGGGGTAGACAGCGTATACGGCCGCCACGCAGGGTATGTCTGGGACCTTCACCGTGTCTTGGGGCTGCGCCTCGGCCATGGCCTGCCTCTCCAAACCGCCTGTCTGCACATCCTGACTGACAATGCCACCAACACAGGGACTCCATGGCGACGAGCTCGACTTTGAGAACACATGGGCCACCATCGAGGCTGCCTTCCGCGAGATCCACACCAAGAATGCTTCCAAGCTCTCGTACGAAGAGTTGTACCGCCACGCCTATCGTATCGTGCTGAAGAAGAAGGGTGAGGATCTGTACAACAAGGTGCATGACTTCGAGAGCAACTGGCTGAGTAGCGAGGTCCGCGCATCCATCCAGCAGCTGCTCTCGCCCAACCTCCTCGCCAACGCGCAGAGCGTCGGCGGAACAACGACCAACGAGCGTCGTGTGGCCGGCGAGAAGTTCTTGAAGGGCCTGAATCAAGCATGGGGGGACCACCGAGTCTGCACGAGCATGCTGGCAGACGTGTTGATGTACATGGTAAGATCAGCGTCCCACCCACCATGGTGAACAACTGCAGCTAACTTGGCCCGGTTTGATAAGGACCGTGTCTACTGTGCGGACCATCGGCGACCGTCCATTTTCCATGCCGCCATGGTCCTATTCCGCGATCAAATCCTCCACTCCCAAGTCTCCGAGACCGACACCCGAGCTGTTCTTGGCCTTCTGAACCACATCATCCTCGACCAGATCCAGATGGAGCGCGATGGCGATGTCATTGATAAACACCTCATCAGATCCTGCGTACGGATGCTTGACGAGCTGCACCAAGACGAGATCGAGTCCGAAGGGCAGCGTCTATACAACACTTCCTTCGAAAAGGAGTACCTAGACACCAGCAGGACTTTCTATCGAATCGAATCCGAGCTCCTGTTGCGCGATTCCAATGCGGGTGTATATTGCAAGCATGCACGACGGCGGATATACGAGGAAGACGAGCGTTGCAAACAGACGCTCCTGGAAAGCACTGGCCCCAGGATCCAGAAGGTCGTCGAGGACGAGCTCATCAAGAACCGAATACACGAGCTGGTAGAGATGGAGAGCGGAGTCCGCTTCATGATCAACAACGACAGGCTGGAGGAACTGAACCTCATATATGATTTGAACAAGCGCGTCGACGATAAAAAGGTGGAGACTACGCGATCTATCCAGAAACGCATTGTGGATATGGGCTCCGATATCAACAATGACGCCATTGCTGCATCCCAGGCGCCTGCTACTGTACCTCCGGCCGACTCCGCAGATAAAGTCAAGGGCGCAGTGCAAGAGAAGAACCTCAATCAACAGACGGTCGCCGCGATCAAATGGGTTGAAGATGTGCTCTCCCTGAAAGATAAGTTCGATAAGATCTGGAGAGAATCGTTCGAATCGGATCCTCTCTTACAGCAAGCTCAAACGAGGAGTTTTGCGGAGTTCATCAATTCACCAACATTCCCGCGGTCCTCCGAGTACATCTCACTCTTCATCGACGAGAATATGAAAAAGGGCATTAAAGGCAAGACGGAGACGGAGATCGATGTGGTATTAGATAAAGCCATCATCCTCCTGCGGTACGTGCAGGATAAGGACCTATTCGAGCGCTATTACAAGAAGCACCTTTGCCGGCGCTTATTGATGAACAAGTCAATCAGCAACGAAGTGGAGAAGCAGATGATCTCAAAGATGAAGATTGAGCTCGGCAACAACTTCACATTGAAGCTAGAAGCCATGTTCAAAGACATGACCATCTCCGAGGAGCTTACGGCCGGTTTCAAAAAGCATGTCGAGGGTCTAGGCGACAAGGATCCAAAGCGTATCGAACTGGCAATCAACGTCCTGACTAGTATGACGTGGCCTCTTGAAACCATGGGTGGTGCTGCTGCCGACGAAGAGGACCAGCGACCGCGGTGCAATTTCCCTGCTGTGGTGGAGAAGGTCAAGCGTGGCTTCGAGAAGTTCTACAGTGAAAAGCACTCTGGGCGACAGCTGACCTGGCTGGCCAACATGGGTTCCGCGGACATCAAAGCAGTATTTCCCAGAGTTCAGCAGAAGGATGGGTCCTTCAAGGAGCGCCGACATGATCTCAACGTGTCGACTTACGGCATGGTCATCCTGCTTCTGTTTAACGAGCTACCTGTAGATCAACACTTGACGTTTGAAGAGATCCAAGCTCGGACGAACATTCCAGATAACGATCTCGTCAGGAACCTGCAATCACTAGCTGTAGCGCCGAAGACGCGCATCTTGATTAAGGAGCCCATGTCCAAGGACGTTAAGCCTACCGATAGGTTTTCGTTCAATGAAGGCTTCAACGGCAAGTTCGTCAAGATTAAAGTCGGTGTCGTCAGTAGCGGAAACAAGGTTGAGAGTGATCGTGAGCGACGAGAGACCGAGAAGAAGAATGATGATTCGCGGCAATTCTGCATCGAGGCGGCCGTTGTTAGAATCATGAAGTATGTATAACCCAGGGCGCTGTGAAGGGAAAAAATCTGACAGTTGAACAGACAACGCAAGGAGCTCTCGCATCAGCAACTGGTTATGGAGACACTTGGACAACTAGCGGCACAATTCAAGCCTGAGGTCAATATGATCAAGAAGCGTATTGAGTCCTTAATCGAGCGCGAATATCTTGAACGTATGGAAGGAGCTAAAGTGGATTCATATAGATATCTGGCGTAGAAGAAGCGCCACGCATCTTTGATATCTATCGGCGTTTGGCGAACTTTTCAAAGTCTGGGTGAATGCCCCAGCGAATGCATAGCATTGGCGTCCGGGCCTGCTTGGGTTTTATGGAGGGGCTGCATAGATATCCATCGCGGAGTGTGTATTTGGCAATCATCTGATGGTGCATTTCACTCGAGATAAACTCGATACTGTTCAACCAACAATCGAACTCGATGGTTGAAGGTGATGCTCTACTGTGGTATATAGGTCTGGTAGCTTTGGTCACACCAACACCAACTCTTCTGCGCCATATTCTGCCCAATACACACCCTCACTGTCACGAAAGCATACGGGAATCTTCACTATCGCGAGTGGCTCCTAAATGTACCACAGATTCTTTAGTCTGGCCCAAAGCTGCAGAGAACATAACGTAAGCTTGTGTCGTTGAGATGGTGTAATCAGCCTTGGACCGCGGCGTGAGGCTGGTGTCATTCTGAAGCGCAAGAAGCGCATACAATCGATCACTTTGATCAGTTACCTCGCTCGAGAAAGCGAACGTTCTCCAGAACATCCACGATATCCTTGAAATGGTCGCCCGGATCTTGCTGACCTCTTAGTCCCTTACGGCACACATAGATATGTCGCATACGAGTAGTGCCGTTGAGGTCAGCTAAGGTTCCCAATCCCTAGGAAGGTCTGCTTAGCCTGGCTATAGACTCGGTGCATAAGAGGCACTTTCTGGGTACGCTCATTGAGGTCTTCTCAATTGATACATACTGCCTTGACACGTGCACTAGGCCAGCAAGGTAAATTTTTAGTAATAGTAATAGCGCCACTAGGTTTTCACCCAAATTTGGTGGGGTGTAGCTTACCTCATCGGCCCCGATTTATTGCGGCCCTTAGTGGCGCAAGGCTAAACAAAGGTAGCCGCTCGCTTATACAAGTCTCTTCGATGGCAACACGTACTATATGATGATTCCAACTCACGATTTCTCCATCAAACAATACAAGCTTCCTTGGTGTAGTTGGTTATCACGTGGGTCTCATATCATCATATATGATCTAGCCTTGTCTAGAGCAATCCCAAGGTCGCCAGTTCGATCCTGGCAGGGAGCATTTCTTTTTGCAGAAGGCAATACTTTTTGGCCTTGCCTCTTATTTTTAGTCCTGTAGCCCACATTCCAATACGTGGTTCTGCCACAGGTCAAAGAGGCAGACTTCAAAGATGGTTGGGATACGATCGATATACCTCAAATGATCTCTCCAAGGACGCCTACTCGAGAAAAGACTATCATCACTGGTTTGCCACAAAGGCTGATCGCACAACGGACCTCCGTGCTGTTACTTTTGGATTTTGTCCTCTGAACTCTACATTCTGGCCACTTCTGACCGAAGGAGTGATTATGGTGCTGTTGGGTTCTCTTGGTGACAAAGGTCAAAGGAAGCAATCCACCCCGAAGGCAATGTTCGACTGGTACGAAGCATGTCGTGAAGCTATACCGGGCATAGGAAGATTCTCCGATCGAGCCCCTTAATCTTTCGTGGCCTTTACGACAAGTTTCGCAAATGCGATCAGCATCCTACTTCGTTGTGGACTAACGCCCCTAAAACAGTCAATATGGTTGAGAAGAGAGGCAAAGTATGTCTACCCAAGCTATCAGGAGCGAAGCTTCAAAGGACAAGAGAAGGGCAATTAGTGAAGCACTCTGGACAGCTGAAATGTGGAAGACCAGCTTGCGAATTGAAGTTTGGGTCATATGTCCATTAAATCAAGAGAGAGCGTCCAGGAATAGCATCAAAAGATGGTATCAGTGGCACAGGGCTCTGTCAACCACGTTTTAGCGCGGCGGTAAGAACTGCAAAAGCATCAGGAACCATACACATGAAAGCGAAAAGAGGCCTAAGAGCAAAGAAGGCAGGTATCGCCTGCTGTCAGAATGTTGAGTGTCACAGACCATTGGGGCGGAACAAAATGAAGAACGAAAGACCGGCAATTCGACCTCGATCTGGAATTAGTGATCTTTAGCTCTGTATGAGTTGTTTCCGCAAAGCACGCTGTAAGACTCTCGATACGAAGTAGTTTCTCTCTAAGTAGATCTTGAAGAGCTCTAGCCTTTTAGTTTATTTATATAAGACTAATTGAAAACCCAGAAGATAACGTGACTAGTTAAAGGTGCGCTATTAAGACTTTCACAAAAGTAAGGTCTTGGCCTTAGTTGTCTGCAGTCCCTAATTTAGTGTCGACTAGAATATGTGCATATTTGATCGATCCAAATTCTTCTGTTTGACTGAGAATCAGTCAATGATGAGGATATCTCGAGGAATGGTGGCAAGATTATGAGTGATTTGGAAGTATCCGGAGCCATCAACGTAGATAGAAACGAACGCTTCAGATCCTTCATTTGGGCCATCATAGCACCGCCACGCGTATGATGCGCCTCGAAGGGCACATCTCCACAAGATAAAACAGCTTCTCTCGCGTTCCCGAAACGCCGAGCACTCTGATGGCCGCTGGAGTAGCAAGGTGCGGGTACTGACATGAGTCCACTGTATCTTCAAAGCTCACCGAATACTCTATGCGGTGCATGATAGGACACTCGAAGGGTGAGTACGAAGTGTAGAGAGTGATAGGAGCGGCACGGGCCCACCACCCACTGCTGCGCGCGCGCGCGTTAACTCACTAATGTTAGCGTCTTGGCGATCATCGGCGCCGCTAAAATTTCTTTGCAATTCTTCGACAAAGTCGCCGTAACAACACAACTTAGCACCGAGGACGATGGCAGTCGATAACTCCTTAGAGTCGCTTCTTGCGACCCTTACTTCTTCAATTCACTCCGCTACTGAGGTTCTCCCTAACGACGATATCCTGCCGCCAAAAGAAGGCATATCATTACTGGATGTGAAGAATGAACTACTACTCTCATATCTTCAGAATCTCGTATTCCTCATTCTCTTGAAGCTTAGGTCACGATCTAGCTCAGATAGAGAGGAGCAAGAGGAGGGTTTGCATTCCCATGATGAAGTGGTCCAAAAGCTCATTGAGCTGCGGATTTATCTGGAGAAGGGCGTTCGACCACTGGAGAATCGCCTGAAATACAATATCGACAAGATCCTCAGGACTGCCGACGATTCTGCGCGGATGTCCACTCAAGCAACCTTAAAGTCAAGAGTTCGGAGGAGCAAGGCAGATGAAGGATCTGACTCTGGCGTCAGTGAGGAAGGGTCAGTAGCGTCTGCACAGACGGAAGAAGATGAAGATGAGATGTCTTTTGCCCCGAATAAGGCTGCCGTTTCAAGGATAAAGTCAAGAGTCTCAGGGGACAGAGCACCAGAGTCTGCGAAAGATGGCATCTACAGGCCACCCAAGATCACACCCATGGCCATGCCGACCCCGGAGAGTCGAGAAGCGAGGCGAGAGCGGAGACCTGGCAAATCAGCCACCCTGGATGAGTTTGTCGCAAGCGAGTTGTCATCTGCTCCCATTGCAGAACCAAGTATTGGAAGTACTATCACGCATGGCGGTCGCCATACGAAGTCAGAAAGAGAAAGGCGTGAGGAGGCTGAGAGAAGAGAATATGAAGAATCCAATTTCACACGTCTAGCTCCGGAAAGCAAGAAGGAGCAAGCCAAGAAACGGGCGCGGCAGCAGGATGGTGGGTTTGGGGGGGAAGAATGGCGGAGTTTGGGCGCGGGTATAGACCGCATTGAGAGGCTTACCCAGAAAAAAGGTGGCAAGCTAGGAACTCTAGAAAAGAGCAGAAAGCGACCGATTGGAGACGGGCCTCGTGGATCTGGTTCTGCAGCAGGAGATGCTTTCGAAAAGCGGAGGAAGGTAGTCTCCAAGTACCGAGGGTGAAACACTCCTTCTGGTACCATGGGTTGTTGCACTGTACTTCCGAGATGATGCGGCGTGATATAGATTGGAACAACCACATTCAATCTTTACGGACAGCGTAAACATCGGGTATTATATAAAGCTACAAACCTGCAGTAGTCCTGTGTTGCGGTTTCTAGTACTGGTTCTCGGAGTCATCACGGGAAACATTGTACCTCAAAGCATCACTCGTTGGCGACCTTCTCGGGCACTGGCTGCATCGCCTAGTTTGTACGTACTGCAATAGTAATATTCCGCAAGGTTGAGGAATTTTTTCGTTGCGGCGCATCTGCAATGAGCAGAAGAGACACGTCGGAGTACATGTTTATTTTGAGATGTAAGCTGCACTTCATTATCAACACCGGTTAGCCCCGAACTGTATGTGCAGTTCCTGACCAAGTGGTCTGTCGCCCCAATCAGTGGCCGTGATGTTCCGGTCTTGTGCCACCCGGTCCTACAAGGCATGTATATGATCCCACGACCTGAGAATGTCGAACGGGCCACTATTCTCGATGCTATACTTGACTCTCGAGTGCAACCCTGGAATTGGGTTCGTTGCACCAATGGCACCTGAGAAAACACCAACTTGATGCTTACTGAGTATATTTTTCTGCACTAACTTATCTCGCCATTGCATCGCCCATGACGCGCTAGTAGGATCTCGTTTCGATTAAACATGAAATACGATTTCACCTCAACAGGCGCACAATGTAAGCTCCTTAGTAGCTCTGTACTGTCATTGACGCGAAACTAAACCTTATGAAGATATTCACGGTACCGGTAGTGCTACTCTAGAGACAATGAAGATGTTTTCCCCGTGTGCGAACTAACTGAGTGCTCACGATCTGCGTTAACTCTCACGACCATCTTGAGTTTGCTTAGGATTAGAGATCTTCTTGCTGAGAGCGGATTGCGCCCCGTCTGTTCCGCTTGTGGCGTCACAACCCTCCAAGGGACCAACCATAATGCAGTGCTCTGGATGACGTGTAACCGCTCGGGAGCAAAGGCCCCCAGTCTAGTCTATGATCATGCGCGCAAGCAAGGGGCGCTGCTGCCGACCGATGATTTCTGGAACAGCACTTGCTGATTGACATCGGTCCTGCGGAGTTGAAGCCACCGTTTTCCACTTATGCAAGCCCTCCGTTCGACCCTTCCAACGTTGGGTCTCCGAAGCTGAACTGACAGCTTTGCGGCTGCAGCATGTGAATCAGAAAGTGTTGCTGACCGGCAAATTAGTGTACTCGCGGTGAGGCGATATCGAAGAAGAGAGCGCGATGATGACACCATGCCGTGGCTGATGTACTGCGTAGGTAGCCAACGCGGAACCCTCCATGACGGCTACGATGTAATTAGAGTTTCTACTCAAAGGGCACAAGCATTTTCCTCGTCAAAGCCTGATGGGTGCTGCTTCAACAATTTGGACTTTGATCCACGACGTCTTTAGCATGTTAGCTGTCTCAAAAAAACGAAGGGGTGCAGCACCATGACAGAGGCAAAGCGTTGCCTATCCATAAGACCGCGCACTTGGTTCTGTCAGAGTATAGACTATAGGGACGGGGGTAGGGACGGGGGTAGGGGGCACCGTATCGAATGTTTTAGAACTTCTAGTGCGCTTCCAGAAAGCCTCAGGGTATGTCGTGTCCGGCCAATTGAACGTGGGGTGCAGGTAGCCTCCTTGTCTTAAGACCCTTGATCCTGGTTAGTTGTATGCTTGCTTCTTAAATCAAGCCTGTTCAATAAGTATGAAATGGTTTTGCGCTATTGCGGAAATTGTATTGCTTCGCTCGCGCCCTGCGCCGGGGTGTCAATCCCTTTCCAAGATACATGATGCATGATATTACGGACTTGATCGATGTCCATGGGTAACTTGCCACATACATCGATCATCATATCGTACAGGTTTCGTAAATGTCATCTACTCCATTATCGCAATCACGACTTGACCCAGCAAAAGGTCGTGCAGACATCAATGCAGGGGATCCGCCCAAATCCCGTGGCGAACCCAACCTGACGTGCGGTATATCCCGAGCAGAATTCCTCCTTGCCAGCCATGTCATGTATTGCTCAAGACTACATTCTGCGGTCCTTCGCCACGAGAGACAGGAAAGGCTCACATCTGACGCTGTTAATCAACACAACATCTTCCCACCTGAGATCCTGAAAGTCTGATACAAGGGCTAGCTCTTTTCAGCACCATACTGCACCTTGTACCCAGCCCTGATCCAGTTTTGCACGTATCTCG